AGACCAAGATGGGTGGATCACTTGAAGCCAGGAGTTTGAGACCAGCCTGGGTAACCCGGCCAGACCTCGTCTCTACAAAAAATTTAAAAATTAGCCGGATGTGGTGGCGCACACCTGTAGTCCCAGCTACTTGGGAAACTGAGGCAGGAGGATCACTTGAGCCCAGGAGTTGGAGGTTACAGTGAGCTATAATTGTGCCACCACACTCTAGCCTAGGCAACAGAGCAAGACTCTGTCTCAAAAAAACAAACAAACAAAACAAAACCAAAAAAAGAGAAGAAATTACAAGGGAAAGTAGAAATATATTTAATTAAATGATAAGGAAAATGCTACATACAAACATGTGGAATATAGCCAAAGTCCTATTAAAACAGAATTTGAAAATTCACATCCATATATTAGAAAAGATTAAAAAAATCATTAACTGAACATCTATCTCAAGAAATTAGGAAAAAAAACCCAAAAAGTTAAAGAAACCAGAAGAAAAGAAGTATTATAATAAAGAACAGAAATTAGTGAAATAAAAAAGAAATACATATAGAGGATCAAAAACGTTAAAAACTGCATCTTTAAAAGAACTAATAAAACTGATTAATTCCTGGTCAGCTGATCAAGGAGAAAAAGAGAAAGCACAAATAAGCAATGTCAGGAATACATTAATATTAAAAAAAAAAAAAGGATACCAGTACAGATCCTACAGACTTTAAAAAGATAATTGGTATGATGGAAACATTCTGGCTGTTGATGTGCATTTTTCAAAACCAATTAAACAGTACACTTAAGATCTCAGCATATTCCTGTATATAAATTATATCTCAGTAAAAAAAAGAGAATGAAAGGAGGATACTACAAACAGCTTAATGACAGTATGTTAGAAAAGTTAGATACAACTTAACAAAAATACTGATAAAACAAGTAAGAAGTCAACAGTCCTATAACTATTCAAGAAATTGGACTCATAATTTAAACACAAAGAAAACTCTAGAATTCACCAGTGAGTTCTATCAAACATTTAAGAAATAATGCCAATCGTACACCAATTACAAGTAACTGAAAAAGAACAAAACCCAATTTATTTTATGAAGTTGACATGCCCTTGATATCAACCTGATAGGGATATTACAAGCCATGTGAGACAAAAACATAAATGAAAAAATCTTAAACAAATACTACAAAAAGAATCCAGAACATATAAAAAGGATAATAAACCATTACCAGGTTGGAAAATATATAATTCACAACTTATATTTAGGTATATATTTCACCATTTAGAATAAAAGAGAAAAATCATATCATCTAAGCATATATCAAAGATATAAAATTCAACACAGGCCAGACATGGTGGCACATGCCTGTGATTCTAGCACTTTGGGAGGCCAAGGTGGGTGGATCACTTGACGTCAGAAGTTCAAGACCAGCTTGGGCAACACAGTGAGACCCTGTTTCTACAAGAAATAAAAAAAATTAGCTGGGTGTGGTGGTGTGTGCCTGTAGTCCTAGTTATTCAGGAGGCTCACCTGAGCCCAGGAGCCGATGCTGCAGTGAGCTATGACTGCACCTCTGCACTCAGCCTGAGCAGCAGAGCGAGACCCTGTCTCTTAAAAAACAGAAAAAAGAAAAAAAATTCAATACAATAGATTTTTAAAAAGGAATAAACCAGGAATAAAAATAACTTTCTTAATCCAAATGACAAGTATCTCCAAAGTCTGCAGCAAACGTCACACTTAGTGGCAAAATGCTGAAACTCCCTGTGAGTCAATGATACCCACTAGCAACATTTCTATTCAACAATATGGAAGTCCTAGCAAATACAGAAAGCAAGAAAAATAAGTTTTTTAAAGTGTAAGATTGTAAAGAAAAAAGTAAACCTGTCATTATTTTTTTACTCTCTGTTGTTTTGCAAAATTATTAATTGTTTTAGATGATATGACTAGTATTATATACAGAAAATCTAGAAGTATATACAAATTATTAGAATTATGAGTTTATCAGCAAGGTGGTTGAATATAGTGAACGAAAATCAACTGCAATTTTACATACAAGCAACAGAAACAAGTTTTAAAAATAACAAAGATGTACCAGGTCTCTACGAAGAAAACTATATTATCGAAAGAAATTAAACATGACCGAAATATAAAATCCTAGCAAGTGTTTTTTCCCTCCTGAACTTGAGAAGCTAATTCTAAAATATATGTGAGAAAACAAAAGACAAAGAATACACTAAGACACTCTTGAAGAAGAATGAGGTGGGAGGACTTGATTTACTGGGAATCAAGATTTATTATAAAGCTCCAGTAATTTAGATATTGTAGTATGGGCATGAAGATAGACAAGTAGACCAATGGAACAAAACAGAAGGCCTAGAAACAGATCCATGCATATACGAGTACTTCATTTCTGACAACTATGGCACTGCAGAGCAGTATGTTTTGTTTAAAAAGAATCATGCTGAAATAACTATGCACATACAAAAAGGAAAGTTGAACTCTATCTCACACCATACATAAAACAAATTCCTAATGGAATATAGATCTGAATGTGAAAGGCAAAGTAATAAAACTCATATAAAAGAGCACCTTTATGACTTTAGTAGGCTTAAAAAGCATTAACCATAAAGGAGAATACTGACCAACTGGACCACAAAAGATACTATTAACAGAGTCGAAGTGGGAAATTTTGCAACATGTATAAGTAACAAAGGATGCACTACCAGTATATATAAAGAATGTCTATAAATCAAGAAGGAAAAACCAAACAATCCAAATACTTAAACAAGCACTTCATAAAAGAGAATATTTAAATAGCCATAAACATGCAAAATGGTACTCAAACTTATTATTAATCACAAAAATGCAAAATAAAACTAAAATGGAGAGTGATATTAATAAAGAGAGAAATTATAAAAAGGAACCAAACAGAAAATTTGGAGTTGAAAAATACAATAACTGAAATAAAAAATTCACTAGAGGGGTTCAACCACAGAGTTGAGGAGGCAGGAAAAAGAATCAGCAAGCTTGAAGACAGGTCAATTGAGATTATCCAGCCTGAGGAGCAGAAAGTAAAAAGAATAAAGAAAAATAAGCAGAGCCTCAGAGATCTGTAGGACTCCATGAAGTATATCAGCATATGAATAATGGGAGTCCCAAGAAAAGGGAAAGACAGAGGAAAGGGGAGCAGAAAATCAGGGGCAGAAAGAATATAAGAAATAATAAAAACTTCCCAAATTTAATAACAATATTAATCTACACACATCCAAGAAACTCCACAAACTCCAAGTAGAGTAAATTCAAAGAGACACACACCTAAACATACCACATTCAAACTGTCAAAAGCGAAAGAGAGAGTCTTGAAACCAGCACAAGAGGCAACTTGTCACATACAAGGGATCCTCAATAAGATTAACAGCTAATCTCTCATGAGAAACCATGGAGGCCAGAAGGCTATGGGACAAGATATTTAAGGTGCTGAAAGAAAAAATCTGTCAAGCAAGATTCTGTAACCAGTAAAACTATGCACCAAAAATGAAAGAGGAATTTATACATTCTCTGAGAGTTTGTAGTTAGCATAGCCACTGTGCCAGAAATACTAAAGGGGTCCCTTTAGGCTGAAATGAAAGGACATTAGACAGTAACTCGAATCCACACAGTGAAAGTGCATAGATAAACATAAAAGACAGTATCAGTGTGTTTTTTGTTTGAAACTCTTTTTGTTCCCTACCTATCTCATTAATCATTACAGTAAATGTAAATGGTTTAAACTCTCCAATTAAAAGCCAGAATGGAATGCCAGCTCACACCTACCAAATTAACAGACTGACAATAAATTATTGGTCAAAACATGGAACGACAGAACTCTTAACACTGCTGATGGTAGTGTAAATTAGAACTACTTTGAAAACTGCTTGAAATTGTCTAATAAAGGTAAAGATACATATATCTGATGCCCCAATGGTTCCACCTGTGTAGATGTATACACAGTTGAAATATGTCAGAATGTTCACAGTAGCATTATCCACAGAAGTCAAAAACTGAAAATAACCCAAATGTAGAGTAGATAAATAATATGTACCACTACACATAACAACATAGATGAATCACACAACATAATGCTGAGCAAAAGAAGTTACACTGAAAAGAGTACATCTTTTATGGTTCCACTGACATAGAGAAGAAAAAATAGGCAAACTAAACTATGGTGTTTAAGAATACATGCTTAAATAGTAAATCTATAAAGAAAAGCAAATGGAGTGATTACCATAAAAGTCAGGAAGCTAGATACTTTTGTTAAGGATGAAGGTTGGCTTCTGGGATGGTAGTCATGCTCTACTTCTTGAACAGGATTTTGGTATAGGGGTAGTTGCTTTGTGATAATTCCTTGATGTATATGAATATGTATTTATGTATCATTGTTCTATGTACTTTTATTCATGGACACTGTATATCACAGTAAAAGTTGAAGAAAACTTTAAGGCAGACTTAAACAAAATGCCTAAAGTACATGAAACCACGTATCTAAAACAAACTATAACCTCACCTCTGAAAAATGCTTTAGCACATTAATAAACAGTGATTCAGTACACCTTCCTGAAACACACCATGGTTTCTGACAGAGAATAAAGGGAAATTGTGATACTATATTCCATATTGTGATTCCTGAGCTATTTAGTTCCTACAGCAGAAAAACAAATTGACTCTAGGAGGCAGAGAAACGAACTCATCAGATTAGTTTGAGTACAAAATAAAAAGATAGGTAATTATTCAGAGAAATAGCGTCCTCCTCCCTTTCTCTCCCCAACCAACATCAGGTCTATAATATTTTTCACTACTGATATGCCTTCTTGTGAGATCAGATAAAATGTCTCTCACACACACATACCCCTTTCCATGAAGAAACAAGACACTGTTCTGAGAGACGCGAGGAGAGAGACACAAATAACACTTCACTGATAGAACACTGTATTTCTGTCACGGAAAGTGTTAACCATAAAAACGGACACTTACTTGATCAAGATTTGAAAGGCTGTTAGGATCCTGACTCAGACCTTGGTACTGTCCCCTGAGTCTGTCACCAGCAGCTATTTTCCTAAATTTCTTCAGATCCACGACATACAGTGCACTGAATAGAGAAGACCGTTTGTTACAACCAACCATGGATTACGACAAAAAAACTAAACTCACTGAATAATGGAATAAGTCACTAGACGAACATTCTGGCTACTCTTTGAAAAGGTGAGCTGTGTCCCTACAGGAGAGTTAATGGTCAGTATGTGCTACTTCAGCGATACCTAAGAAAGTCAGTGCAAAATCCCTACTCTGCTACCACTAGCTCACTTTTGTCACTGTTCCTTATTTAACTGCCTTCCAAAGGAAATAGTCTCTGACAAAAGATTTCTAGCAGCAGCAGATCAGTAACATAAAGCTACAGTAACTGATAAATAACCATTAGTCAAGGATATCCTGATGCCTTGCATGTTAAAGGAGGAAACCCCCAGTGTTCCAGTTCTCTTGGATAAGGGACGTACAGCATGAAACTGAAACCACCAGGCCCAAACATTTATGTTTGTACGTGCTGCTTTCTACAGCTCCCTACCCTCCAAATCTTCCAAATCACACCTCTGCAGAGACTAGGAATGCAATCGATGCATACACTGTTTGACCTAAGAGGTCTACTTTTAGGAATTTACCATGCAAACACACCTGAAATATGCAAAATAAGGTATTTGATAATTATTCCATTGCAACATATGTCATAGGAAAAGAATATAAATAACATTCATACACTGGAATAATATGCAGCTGTAAAAAGGAATAAGATCCTTCCCTATATATTGATATAACAAGATCTATAAGTAAGACATTAAGTTAAAAAAGCAGCTTACAAAACAGTGTAAATATGTAATATATTTTGTGTAAAAAAGAGTATATGCTCATAACCGTAAAAAACTTTGGAAGTACAGACAATAAATAGGGGAGGTTATCTGTTGCGGGGGTAGGAACTGGGTAGGAGAGAGACAGGACTAAGAAGATTATTTATTGTTTATTTTTATAATATTTATTTTTCAACCATATTAAGGTATTACCTATTCACAATTTTAACTTAATTTCATTTAGGTTAATTTAATTAGTTTTCTTTAAATTAATTTTAAAGAAAAGAAAACCATACAACAGCGTGAGCAGCACTGCCTTCTCAGTACCTGATATGATACTTTCGCCCAGCTAAATGGCTGGCCCAGTACCCTGACTTCCAGAACCTGTAGCCATCCATTTCTCTTCGGCTGTCACAGAAAGGAGTATAGCCATAAGGGGCACCATCCAAATTGAAATCTCTTAACTCTTTCAGATCTGTTCGTACAATCTGGAGAAAAGAATATCAAAATCCATTTGTTAAGCAACCATGCAGACAGCTCTAATGCAGTTTCCCTAAAATACAGAGTGGCTCACTGAAGGCAGCATGGAGGGCAGCTTAGTGGCTAACAGCACAGGAGCTAGCAGTAGACACAGTCTGAGCCTGTATTCCTCCACTTATTAGCTGGTTTCCCTCACTAACATGTGAGACCCTGAGCCTGGTACGTGGCACACAGTGCTCCAAGTATTTAAAGCGAGTAGAAATAGCACACATTTAAATTGCTTGGCCTGTCTGTACCTTAGCTTCCTCATCTGTAAAGTGGAGATAATGATAGCACCTGGCTCACGAGGCTGTTGGGAAGTTTATGTAAGTTAACACACAGATAGGCATGGAACAATGCCTCGCCTATCTAAGAGCTCAGCAAGGATTAAATGTGGCTATGTTAGAATCAGGAGGGCATATTTCAGGCTGAGCCAGCTCATGGGAATTCCAAAGACGTGGGTAAACCTTTGTCCAAATGATGTAAGCACACATTACATCACTTCCACTCAGGGAACTTACTCGGGTTTCAGCCGGCTTGGGGTGAGGCAGAAGGCTGTAGGCAGAAGTGCATTTATGCTGTTTGAGTTTGTATACTCTAAAATCACAATGTGTTCCCTTTAATTAAGTCAACTCCTGACAGCTGGAAGAGTACCTGCATTGTTCCCTATTACCGAGGCCACGCATCCACTTGAGCTTCGTCTATCACCTGTGCCAGTAACGCCCAGCTTTGGGGCGAATCACTGGAGATGATGGCAAGCATTGTTAAACCTTAATTTTTAACTTTTATGTTAAACGAATTAAGTAAGATAAAAACTGCATACATGATGTTACCATACTACGTTAAAAGGACATAGAAAAGGAGATATATCAAATGTAAATTTAAAAAGTAATCACATCTGAGTGATACTTTTACACATTTTCTAAGTATAAAATAAGCGTGTACTTTTCTATAACTGGAAAATATCATTTAAAAAGGAAAAAGAAGTCTGTTGCCTTTAATACAAACTATTAAAAAATGATCTTTAGCCTGAGCAAGAGCGAGATCCCATCTCTACCAAAAATGGAAAAAACTAGCTGGGCATAATGGTACATGCCTATAGTCCCAGCTACTGAAGAGGCTGAGGCAGGAGGATTGCTGAAGGCCAGGAGTTGGAGGTTGCAGTGAGCTAGGCTGACACCACTGTACCCTAGCTGGGGCAACAGAGCAAGACTCTGTCTAAAAAACAAAACAAAACAAAACAAAACGAATCTGGCCTTTAAGAGCTTACCTGATCAGCATCCACAAATAAGAATTTGTCAACAACTAGTGGAAACAGTACATCCAGGAAGAGGATCTTGTAACCCCAGATGATGCGCTGTTTTTCAGTTTGCTGATGAAGCCACCGGGGCCATTTGTACTGAACAAGCTCATACTGGAAATTGTATTCATTTGCCATGTAAGGTATAAACTCCTATTTTTAGATACAAGGAACAACAAACAATCATTTCCTCTGATTAAGAAAACTGCATTAATAATGTAAGATAACCACCATGAATGTGGCACAAATAAAACACATTTACCAACACAGTAGTCTAACAAAGAATTGGCCCCAACCCATTTGTGACTACACAAAGGAATACATATAAACTTCTGTCAAATCACCACTGCTCTTTGACTTCTGGTCACCAGATGAAATGATAGAAATCTTTTAAGTTAAGGCTTTTAGATTTGTATCCGTGTGTGTGTGTGTGTGTGTGTGTGTGTGTGTGTGTGGGTGTGGGTGTGTGGGTGTGTGTGTGGGTGTGTGTGTGTGTGTGTGCTTAAGGCAGATGAACTTTAAGTCCATTTGTCTAAACTTAATTTCAGTAAAACATTTATTGAGCTTGATTATAAGTCTTTCTCAAGACTAGGTCTAACCCAGAAAATAATGTAGCAAAATCAAAACTCGGGACAAATTTGTTGCCATTAATGACTAAGTCTTTCAGATTCTAAACATAAGTACCTTCAGGAGACCAGAATTGAATTACTTATCTAGGAGAGATGTTGCTGAATATATTAAATGTTGCTTAGTAAATTCTACAGAAAAAAAAAAGATGCAAATAAATCAATTTAGATGACAAATAGTGGCTCATATAAACCAAGCAGAAAACTTTCCAAGTGTGTTGTTTGTTTTGCACAGATGAAGCATTATTTCCATATATCATCTGGTAGTGGTTCATGATAAAATTAATCATTCTCTTCAATGTAAACCAATACTGTGCTTGCTGTCTAAAAGTAAGACACGCATGCTTCAGAGGAAAGGACTGTTATTTCATCAAAATACTGCTTCTAACAAAAAAATACAGACTCTTCTATATTATCCAAGCTTCAAACAGTCATAATTTTGTGTTTTATTTTATAACAATTGTTCCTCTCAAACAGACCAAGCAGGGAGAACAATCAACATAGAAATATGCAACTAAATTAGAGGATCCTAATAAAAGGAAAATTTTTCAAAGTATACAGATTAAAAAAAGTAGTAAAAAAAAATACTATAAATATCTCCTTAATAAGAATTTTTTCCAGTTCCTTGTAAAACAAACCTTAAATGTGGGGGACAAATAATTCTTCAAGAACCAGAATTTCACAGGAGTCTTGGTATTCTTCAGCACTGATAGCATCATTATGCTGCCAAACAAAAGCAAATAATAATAATAATAATAATAATTTTCCAATGTTTTTAACTGCAATAGCATTAAGTAGTGTCAATCACAAGACAGCTAAATGTTCTTCACAGCCGAGCTAACCGATGGCTCAGGCAGAGAGAAAGACTTAGTGATGGGACATTGTACTCATTCCTACTTATAAAGTTATCATTGAATGGTAGAGAAAGGGCATTTCTTACCAATAAAAACATACTTAATTGACAGAGGCAAATGTTTTAATGCTGTTACACCTTTAAATAAACTGCTTCATGAACAGATATATCAATTAGAGTTCAAATGAATACTGGCGGCTGCAACCCCTGCCAAGTGCCAGCAGCGCGCGTGCTGGGGGAAGAGCGCGAGCGCGCGCCTCCTGCAGCCTGCGCAGGGCTGCGCTGGGCAGGAGAGCAGGCAGAGGCGGGCAGGCACGGGGTTACAGGCTCAGGATTCCCTACTTTGAAAACAAACAAAAACAAATTTTGAGTCAAGGAATTCAATTAAATTCAGCCGTTACTATCATCATTATTTTAGCTCAGATGTTATTTCTGAAAATAGGAGGGCTAAAAATGAGTAAAACGACATTTTGATTATTTTCTACACTAGATTTGTGGTAAAAAATGAAAAGTGAAAAGAACCCTGGCAATTAGGATAGTGACCCTCAGGCAAAGGTGTGCCTTCAGAGCTGAGCCTTCCTAATGCTGTGACAGGGGGCTGCTGAGTGCCTTCCCTCTGGCCACCACATCAACTGGCCCAAGCCTGTGGCCCTCTTGGCTATCGCTGTGTGACCTCTGGCAAGTCCCTTCACATGCTCGTGTGTTAGTACGTAAGAACCAAGATCTCTCCTGGCTCTAAGATCCTATGAATCTTTAGATGGCACTGAAGTGTTCCGTGATTCTGTTCCCCTTCCATGTTCTATGTCAACCTCCTAATTTCTGGTTTAGGCAGTGCTTGGTAGCCAAGTAAAGACCACTGTCTGTGATGCATGCAGTGATATGAATGGCTACAGCCTTGTATTAATAATACCCACACAGAGGAATTTACTACATAGCTCAACTTCATGGAGCTGACCAGAATGACACGAATACAATTACTTACGGCAAGCTATTCCCAGTCCTCAGGAGTGCTTCAAATACACAGAAGTATAATGGGCAGAATCCAACAAAACTTTTTCTCCCTAAATAAGAATACTGTGACAAATTCATTCACATATACCGAAATAATCAACAAGACTAACCGAAGAAATCTTTCATACAGATGACCAGATGCAACAGAGAAAATATTAATTATGTCATCTTTATCTTGTTTCACTTCCTCAGTCTTCTGTCCTCCTGTAAAGCCCCTATAACAATAAAGGTAAAAACAAGGTCACTTGAAATGTTTGTACAGACACGCAGGCCTTTAAGGAGAGAGGAAAGAGATGGTGCTTTGCCACCCCCATTCCTTCCCTAGAGGGTGGGATGCAGTCAGAGCAGTCCAAAGCACCCCTCGCACCCTGGGAGAGAGCACAAGGCCGGCAGAGCCACACCACAGGGTACCAAGGAAGATGCTCACTCCAAGACTGTGCTGCTTCAGGAACAGGCTGAACATGGGCTGTACCACAGAACGTAATTTGTACAATGGGAAGCAAACTGGGCAATTACCAATCAACCCTCCAAACAGCACACAACCCAATGAGACTCAAGTATGGAACAGAAGTAATGTCAACAGGAGGAGACATTACCCTCTTTTAGTTAATAATCATGTGGAAAATACCCATCTACTCCAAATATGACAGTACAAGATTTGGCTGCACAAAGCAAAATGTAAAAGGCTCAGACAGTATTACAAGAGTCAAAAAGGAGGGAGGGATGGATGGAGCTTGTATGTCAGTTTTTTCTTAAAAGTACTTTTTTCGTGATGCCAATTTACCATTTGAAGGAGTCCCAGAATCCAGACTCATTCTCATTTGTTCCATCACTCAGCAAGTCTTCATTCACCATGTCTGCCTTCTTCTGAACCTGCAATCATACGGGATAAGCATCTTATTCCTCTTGGTAGTCTAACAGGCGCGATTTTCACTGGATGTACACTGTGAGTATGGTCAACAACAGGGAATTATCAATCAGTTCTTCCACGAGCAGGCATGACTGCACCCAGAGTCTCAAAGTATTCAACAGAAGTATTTTCTTCAGGATGCTCACCCCAGAAACTTAAGTGAGAAGACATCAATCTCTTTTATTAGACAGTAGCCATTTTCAGCTTGCAAAATGGGCAAAAAACCTCAAACTCAACTGTCTAGGAATACAGTCTGAGTAAACCAGAAGCACATTTGCCGAGTGGCCAGGCGGTGCTGTGGAGGGCGCCGCCTGCCAGGGCCCCAGCTACCAGCAGGAAGGCGTTTCACCTCCGGGGCTGTTTCCAAGGTCTCTAGCACAAGCAGGCTGAGTCTGCTCGGTAGCACAGTGACCATTTTTCTGCTCAACCATCCGTGGCCTACTTTAGATTTCACTGCATATAATGATCATTCATTTCATAACATATTTTACATTAAGTTAACGCACTAAGAACTTCAAAATTCTGAGAACACTAAGTAGAAGTGGAAAGAAATTAAAGTATCATTTTATTGTTGTTAAAATTTTCATTGGCATTCCCCAATATTCTGAGAATAGAATCATCAATAATTCTATGAACTGTGGCTATATAAAGCAACACAGCAGCTATGAGAACATTTTATGTAAAATGGGACTCGCATTGCTCACTGAGATTACCCAAAAGGTGAAATCTCTCAGTTGAAGAAAGCCACAAACTGACATTTATTAATACAAAGACATTTTGCCTTAAAGCTGCGTTCCTACAATTGCTACAGTTAATTCCAAAGGGAGTCTTGGGCTGGTCTCAAGATATGTATTTTTACATGTAGCTACCAAATAACAGAATACTGCTACTTTATACCAACTATAAAAGAGTGGCTGCCTTAGCATACCAAACTCACCTTCACTTTAATAATTTTGCTTTTGAAGTTGTTGAGGACAATAACAACCTCATCAGCATCAGGAGGAGAATCTGTACCATCGTGGCTTAGAGAGACAAGCAAAAGAGATATCACAATCACAACTCTCAAAGTGCAGTAATGGTCTCATAGCAATCTGGCATATTTGTCCATCATCTTTCTCATAAAGAAGTATTTCAGAACAAATAACTTTCTTTTTCTTTTGTTTTTTTTTTTTTTTAGAGATATGTCTCACTGTATCACCCAAGCTGGTCTTGAACTCCTGGACTCGAGCTATCCTCCCACCTCAGCCTCCCAAGTAGCTGGGACTACAGGCACACATCACCACACCCAGCTAATTTACTTATTTAGTTAGTTGGTTAGGTTTTTACAGACGAGGTCTTGCTATGTTGCCTACACTGGCAGAACAAATCACTTTCTCACAACCTGAAGGAAGCCCCTTCAAGCTACAAAGAAGCACCTGTTAAAACCTTTACCTTCATACACAGTGCCTGCCCAAACTTCCCTCTTGAGTCCTCCTTCAAATTATCTAACACCAGGGAGAGGCCCCCAGGCATGGTGCAGCGTGGCGAGCGCTACACAAGCGTCTGTGTTCACAAGGTGTGAGCCAAGCACAGCGCCCTCAGTAAAGGATCGCGGTGGGATGGGCCCCCTGAACCACCACTGGAACCCCACCACTCTGCTCTCTAATTGGAACAGTGCTGTGAGGCAATCGACTGCTCTCTCCTTGGCCTGCGGCCACATAGTCAGCCAACTGAAGGTCTTGTACTCAACCTGGCGCCTTCACACTATAAGAAGAGCTATGACAAGCTCTACTGGCAGGCACACGGGAGCGGAGGAGGAAAAATTAAAAATGTTTCTCTACTAACCCACAGTAATGTCTAAAATTTTCAGTCACCAAATTTCAAGGTGCAGAAAGTCACAGTAACAACAGGAATTCACTGTATTTGCTGTCATCTAGCAGAGAGCAGGGTTCCAAGGCAAGGTACGATTCTGACAGGATGGCCCTGAAGTATGAAACACTCAAGAGACTGGGATTATCCACCTGGGAAGCACAGGAGGACGAGAGCCCTAGACAGCTAGGATGGGAGCTGGGGGCACCACACTCCCGTGGAACAAAAGCATGGTTTCGTCACACACGCAACTGCAAATGAAATTCGTGATGCCTCGCTAACTGCCCAAGTAGTAGTCAGTTAGAGCTGGCTCTCATTTCAAAATGTTCTGGAGAAATGTACCTGCAGCACTTAATCCTACCTGTAGATTCTATAAATATCTTCAGAGCGTCCCTTCCTGAGTCTGAGAATCCAAGCTCCTGGGTTGGCTTTTAGCTGAAAGTAGCCCTAGAGCAAGAAGAAACACCGAATTTTAGTTCTCTTCAAAACATCAAAATGCCATTTCTGAGGGATAGTTACTTCTTTTGCTGAAATATCAGTCACTTATAATGTAGATAAGATAGTAAACTAATCAGTACAACTCTCTAAAAAAAAAAAAACACACATTAGAAACTCTAGCAAAATGCAGGCCAGTCAAGCCAAGAAGTCCGCCATTTATCTATACTTCAGGGAAAAATCAATGTGTGATGTGTGAATAAGCTGTGAATGTCCAAAGAAAAGAAAAAGGTGATCAGCTCATAAGCAATCCATTTTCAGGGACCAAGTCGGTTAGAGCAGAGTATTCCATCATGTTTTCCTTTTAAGCTGACATGTAATTCTAACCTACAAATTCAGCTGAACTAATGATTTTTATATAGACCAAATTCAGTCAATTATGAATTTTAATCTCACTCTATGGTTAAGATTACTCCATCACAAGCTATAGTGCCCAAATTAATATAACTACAATATCAGTATTTGAAGAAATAATTATTTACCAGATTGGCCATAACAATGGTATCCACGATGACGGGGTTGGTTGAAGTTCCTAAGGTAAACTGTAGTCCTCGGGGGGGTTGGCCTGTGGTGATGTCATAGCAATGACCTTCCAGTAACAGGTACTCCAGCTCATACTCAGCAGCCACTATGCTGTCCACCTGCAATATCAAAATTAATCTCTTGAAGACTACTCAGCAACAACATAGATAAATCTGAAAAGCATTTTGCAAAGTGAATGAAGCAGACGAAAAGGATTGAACGATCATATTTTAAGAACTTTGAGAAAAAGCAAAACTATAATGACAGAAAACAGATCATCTGTTGCCTGAGACCAGGGTGAGGGGAAGCAATTGCCTGCAAAGGGGTATAAAAGAACTTTTTGGGGTGATGAAAATGTTTTGTATCTTGACTGCGGTGGTGGTTAATGACTGTATAAAATTATAAAAACTGGGTTGGAAAGAGAAAGGAGAAAAAACAATAAGGAGGTCATTCCAAAAATACGGATAAGAGGACAAGACTCTAAAACACTGTTGAAAGAAATTAAAGAACTAAATGGAAAGATACACCCCATATTCACGGATCAGCACAAAAATGTGTACTCAATGTTCACAGCACCATTATTCATAATAGCCAAAAAGCAGAAACAACCCAAATATCCATTCATGAATGGATAAATTAAACATGGTATATTCATACAATGAAATATTATCTGGCAATTAAAAAAATTAAGTACTGATGCATGCTACAACATGGATGAATCTTGAAAACAATTTGTTAAGTGAAGGAAGCCAGTCACTGAAGACCACATACTGTATGATTCTATTTAGACAAAATTCGGAATAGGCAAATCTACAGGGAGAGAATATAGATCAGTAGTTGCCATGGGCTGGAGAGAATGGGGAGTAACTTCCACGGGGTATGGAGCTTCTTCTGGGGATGATGAAAACATTCTAAAATTAGATCACAGTGATGGCTGCACAACTCTGTGAATAAATAAAACCTCTGAAATGTCTACTTTAAAGGGGGATATCTTATGGTACATGAATTATATATGAATAAACCTGTCATTTTAAAAAATATCACATCTGAACACTGATGTCTCAGAGGCCCACTTACACTGTGATCCAATCTGTTCAAAATCTACCACTACTACATCGTAAATAGTTTTTATACATAATTAGATATTTGTAAAGAATGATAGTCTTACCTCTTCTAAATAAATATTATCAAGATCATATGGCGTTCTCACAGATTCTACCATCCAACTCTCAGGTGTGTTCAAATTCAGAGTAAACAGTGGAGACTGAGGCATATCCAAAAATTTTGCTATTGGGCCCTTAGCAAAGCTACTGTCTGAAGTAAAAGAAATCTCTGGTTCTAAGACATAACGGTAAAAGCTGAAATTAAAAAGAAAAGTGTTAGATGTTTTTCTATGTGACCACGGTCTTTGAATTTATACAGTTAAACAACTACCTTAAAACAAACTAGATTTGGAGGCGGGTATCCTTCCAAATTGGCAAAAATATTTCCAAAATCATCTTTTGACCTAAGAATGTCTCCCGCAGTTGCTGCAAGATGCAAGAAAAGACAAAGAGGGACAGGACTGAGGGAAGGCCATTCCTTCATGAGCATGGCTGCTCTTGGGGCCATAAGCATTTCCTAAGTACTTTTCTCCTTTCAGGAAGAATTCATTTTTCTCTTAAAAACCAAGTCATAAATACTGATTGGGTTCTCAGACTAGCCCTGAAAACACTGTAATAATTTAAACATTTCTCCTGTACGAGGATAATGATGGAAGCTGGGAACCCTTTGGTCACTTGCAAACACTGTTTCCCTTTTGTTTTTTTTTTCCCAGAATATTACGGGGTACAAATGCTTTTGTTACATAAATTGCCTTTGCACTGACAGAATCACAGCTACAAGCATGCCCATCACCCAGACAGCACGTTCCACACCTGTTAGGTGTGAATTTAGCCATCCCCTCCTCTCCCCTCGCACCTGCCAGACACCCGGTTAATGTTACTTCCAAATGTGCATATGTGTTGATCTACTAGTACCAATTTAATGATGAGTACATGTGGACTATTTCAATACACTCAGAATCTCAGCTGTAGAACACAGCATATTTGCAAGGTAAGAATTTCCCATAGTCACAATATACACTACACTATTAATTGCTTTTTGCATTACTTTTTCCATAAATGACCATTCCAAAGCTCTTAATAGTATATAGCTAAGCCTGTCCTCTTTTTTGAGATAACTGCAAAGAAGCCTAAGCAAGCTTCCGCTAACATACATATTCCAACTTCAAATGACTACTCTTCTTTTAAAATGAAAAGCACAAATGCAAGTAGGCCGGGTTAATGCCACCTCAATGCTCCCATGCCCACATCATCTTCTAGAATTTCAGACCAGAACAGGTATTTGGCAAAACCAAACATTTAGTAAATAACCTTTCAAAAATGATGTTCAGGCCGGGCGCGGTGGCTCACGCCTGTAATCCTAGCATTCTGGGAGGCCGAGGCAGGTGGATCGCTCAAGGTCAGGAGTTCAAGACCAGCCTGAGCAAGAGCGAGACCCCGTCTCTACTAAAAAAAAAAAAAAAATAGAAAGAAATGATCTGGACAACTAAAAATATATATATATAGGAAAAAAATTAGCCGGGCATGGTGGCGCATGCCTGTAGTCCCAGCTACTCGGGAGGCTTGAGGCAGGACTGCTTGAGCCCAGGAGTTTGAGGTTGCTGTGAGCTAGGCTGACGCCACGGCACTCACTCTAGCCCGGGCAACAAAGCGAGACTCTGTCTCAAAAAAAAAAAAAGATGTTCACCTATAAACCTGTTTGATCCTTTATCATTCAATATCAGCCTTCAGATTCGTATCATGTTTTACCTTTTTAAAGGCATGTCGGAAAGTTTAGACTGGCAGTTCATAAATACTCTCAGATTCATGTTTATCAGCTGAGCCAAAACCTAAAAGAGGAAACAAGATGAGAAAATATTTAAATTTATTATTCAGAAATTGATTACTTGACACTAAGAAATAAATTATACACTCAAAGTATTCTCTTTTAAGAGAGAACATTTCTTAATATCTCAAGAAAAGATATAAGGATAATAACTGGCATAAAGTCTACAGTGATTTCTGGAAATCACACTAGTACAGAATCTAAATCACACATACATGTGACTTGGCCAAAAATAATGGGAAGTAGGCTGCTGCAGACTACTGCCCTCACTTAAAGAAATCCAACACATCGCTGCAGGGAGCAGCAGATCGATGATGGGTACGGATTTATAAAAAGATTTATAAAAGGAAAACATAAGGACTTGTCATCAAAGCTCACGTTAAAGGATATAAAAAACACGTACAAATACCTACAAAAAAGGTTAGGTGATTATATAGCAACAAAAATGTTACCTTAAAGAAATATAACTAAAAGAAATGTTACGGCGACTGTGTTGTCAGAGCTTTTAAATATCCTTAAACTTGTTACCAAGTTATAGATGTTTAAAAGATATACCATGACAAAAATCCATGGTAGTTATAAAAAAAGGAAAATGAAAAAAAAATTCTTTTGTACCTCTTTGCCATTATAAATTAAAATACAGCGTAGATCAACTTAATTCAAAGATGTTTTGCTCTAGGCTGGGGTGTGGTTGCACCCGCCTGTAATCCTAGCACTCTAGGAGGCCAAAGCAGAAGAATCACTTGAGTACGGGTGTTTAAGGCTGCATCCAGCTATGAAAGTGCCACTACACTCCCACCTGGGTAACAAAGCTAGACTCTGTCTCTTTAAGAAAAAAAAAAAAAGATGTTTTGCTCTAAATGAGGATGTTAAACATTTTTTTCATTACATGAGGCAGCCAACTGAACTGGCACCAACTTCCCAAGGCTATGACACTGTCGTCAATCTTTATGAAGACTGCTCTGCCCAGGATGCTCTGTAACACTGTCCACTGCCCTTGGAACATGACCAAGGGGAAGCGAAGCTCTCAGCAAATCACGGAGATGTGACTCCTTCAGATAAAGGTGCTCTGAACTGCCTCTGCAGCTGTCTTACCAAGAGCAACGGGGCAAGCCTCTGGGCTTCTCTGGTGACAGGATCAACGACAGCCACCACGTCAAAGTATGTCTCCCCTTCCTTTGGCTTCAGTTTAACTGCACTACAAAGATCAAAAGGACAAAACATTAACATGGAAGAAACAAGAAACAAAGTCGAGTTGTAGCTTTTTTGGTCCAACATAAACTATCAGCTTTCTTAGCATTTCAAAAAACTTTAGATCTAGAATAACTAGGCTACAATGATGGCCAACTATGTGATTATGTCTACCCTAAAGACCACAAAACCCTAATCATTCAGGCTCACTTGAAATGAACTGAAAGATTTGTGCAAAAAGAGGAAAACCAGCTTGAAATTGTATTTAACCAAAAACTATTCAAAGCTACTCATGATTATTATACCAACTTTTATTTCCTGGCAAGAAGAATATGAGGAGAGAAGGAATAAATCTTTAAAAAATAATAAAAGAAACTTAAGAACATTCCAGAAAAACCACAAAACAGAGAAAAAGGAAAAATATAACCACAAAATCTCACTATCCCAGCCCAATCACTTAGCTATACCTCTATATAATCCTTTCTAGATACCTCTATAAAAATTAGCTGTAATAACCACAGATTAGAAATTTTAAAACAATTTCCTTCCCTCCCCCACCACTTTAGCATTAAGACTTGCACACATTGTTACAGCAACAAGCATCCTGAATAAGAATTGATATTTTATTTACTAAATAAATCTGCCATAATTTACTTAAGGTTTATTGTTGGACATTAAGATGGCTTTTGATCTCTAAACAATTTGTACTTCCAACTTTCTCCATATTTGGAAATTTCTTTAGACTCAGAGAAGTGCTGGACATAAGATTATGCAGTCATAGGATATAAATATTTTTGTGGCTAATATGTACTGTCAGCCACATTTCCTGAAAAACTAAACCAATTTATAAGGCAAAAAAATTAATTTCATCATATACTTGTCAGCATTCAAGTTATACATATTTTGTCAGGTCTCAGTAAGTGAACAGCGAGAGCTGATTAGCCTTCAGTTTGTACCTCTAGGGTTTCTGGGGAGAACACTCATTTACCCAAACGTAGCTTCCTGTTGCATGGCCTCCCTGTGAAGGCACACTGACTTAGGGGACTGAAGTGGCACAGGGGCCTCTGATGCACTTTAAAAAGGAATCAACTTGAAAGGATTTAAAATTATACCTAATTTTCCAAAATCATTAATTGTTTAAATCAATACTTTGCTGTGAATAATACTTTAATGTGGTTTCGTTACTGCTACTCCGCTATGATCTGCTATGTGAGAACATTTATCCAATAGGATGAGTACAAAAGTAAAACACAAGACAGAACATAACCAATAAAACTGGGTAACTATAGTTTAGACAATGATGATTATTTCAAATCTTAACTGCCTTGGAAATACTCATCGAAATAGCTTTCTGGCTGTGTCAGAGCAGATGTTTTCAATCTCTGATATAACAATTCCAGATTCAATCAGCTGCCAATGATTATTCCAATACAACAAAACTTTTTTTACTCCAATACAACTGTTCTCAAAATGTGGCTCTAGACCAGCAGCATCAGCTTCACCTGGGCACTTGTTAGAAGCACTCTGTCAGGCTACAACACAGACTTACTTAATCAGAAACTCGGGGGACAGGTCCAGCAATCAGCATTTTAAAAAGCCAAAATTTGAGAGCCGCTGCCCTAAAATAATCTGCACCTCTCTGCTACTCTAGAATTCTAGAAAGAAAAGCTCATTAGAGAATAGCATTATAGAAACGCCCACAGTGAACAAGAGGAATAGTCTCAAACAAGGCTCTACACTGGAGTGTAACATCTGATCAGGCCTGCCCAAGCTAGGTTTGGGCACACGTTAATATTCTGAGCCAGCAAGTGTTCAAGGTGACCAGCAACAGGCCTACCCAGAAACTGACTCTGTGAGGTCCTTTACTCATTTCCACCTCTCTACAACAAAAAGATGGCAAGACAAAAACCATAAGAGGAAATATTGGGTGGAAACAAGAACAATATAAATTAACAGTATCATGTTTAAATATACTTGCTGTACTGGTCAGAGAAAGGGCCAAAATAAAGCCAAAAGTAACAGAGACAGGTCCAAGATTTGGAGCTCACACACATTTGCCTAGGGTGAGCAGAGCAAATGGCAAAGAATGCTGTGCTTCACCAAAGTCATTGTACATAGGAATCACCTGGGGAACTTGTTAAACCGTAGACACTGATTCAGCAGGTCTGGTGTGGGCCCAAAGCCCACATTTCCAACAGCTCTCAGACGATGCCCTGCTGCTGGCCCATGAACCACACTTTGAGGGCAAGGGTGTACATAAGTGACAGTTCAGACCTTTTTATTTCTAGCATAAATGAGAAACTTCTGATTTAAATATAATAAACACTCATTTAACTAACATAATCCCAATAAGAATTTCTCTAACTATAATTTATTATAATAGAATTTGTAAATTAGGGCATTTTAACAATATAAAATTCATGGAGACTCATGAAGAAAAGGATGTTCTAAAAAGGGAAGAGGTCTTTGCTCAGGTCTTGGCCATGAAAGGCAAGCAAAATGTTAGGTCAATTGGGAAATATTTCCTGCGAGATAGTTAATTCCTGAAAGTACGCAGAGTGTTGGGAAAAATGGGTGCAATCTGGATGCCAATGGCAAAATTCAACAAGGATTAGCCAGAAGTCACAGGAGTCTCCCCGACGTGGCAACATAAGAAATTAGGAGACACAGCCAGTGCAAACAGAGAGGGTCTGTATTGCAGCCTGCAATCATCAAATAGTCTGACCGCATAAATCTGATCCCTGTAGGTATTGGCTGTAAAAAACCACAGGTCCACTAAAACAAAGTCCAATCCATGCCAGGTCAGAATCACAGAGGAGTAAGGCACAGGCATCTGTGTTTCACTCAACCCTGGGAATTCTGAGGTGCAATCAATACAAGTACTTTCTGGGTAAGACAAGGCCTACATACATTAACTGTGCAGGGTTCTCCTAAATGATTTAATCTGAGTTTCATCATGAGGAAACAACCCAGACTGTGGGACATTCCACAAGACATTTGGCCTGGACTCTTTAAAAAGGTCAATGTCAGCCAGGCGCGGTGGCTCACGCCTGTAATTCTAGTACTCTGGGAGGCTGAGGTGGGAGGATTGCTTGAGCTAAGGGAGTTTGAGACCAACCTGAGCAAGGGCGAGACCCTGTCTCTACTATAAATAGAAAGAAATTAGCCAAACAACTGAAAATAGAAAAAATTAGCCGGGCA